GACTTCAATCAAATGAAGCTGAGTAGACTATGCAGAAGATTTAACTTGAAGAAGTCTGTAAAAGCACAGACAAGAGGCACCAGAGTTTTGGACCAAATACTAACGAACATGGCAGATTTATATAAAGAAGTGGTGCACCTGCCTCCAGTTGGTCGCTCTGACCATCAATGTTTGTTGTATAGTCCCAAAACAATACAAACCGTGAAGCCTTCTACTCGAAAAGTGCGCCTAACGAAACCAGGGAACTGACGGCCGAAGGAACATGGATCTTAGATGAGATTGTTCCCCTGCGTCGACTTTTGAAAATGGAAATATAAGTCGGGATTATATTTCGTTTATTAAGAAAAGATAAGATTTGGTTTTCTTTCACATTCTCGTCTATACCTGTTACGAGAAATTTCTTCAAGATAGCACTCATGCATTCAAATTAGAACAATGGTGAATTTCCAAGGGTAGCAGTTTTTTTGAGACAGCCTGTATAAAGGGAAATCCCAAAGTTACTACTTCGCGATTCGTCATGGAAATCGTAACGAGCATCGAAATCACCAATTAAAAGGATATTAATCCCAGGAGTTAAGTATTAACTTATCAACACAGCATTGTAAATAGTTTAAAAATTGAATATTAGCATAATAATTACTATTGGGAGGCGATAACACCCCCCGCAAACAGTTATATGACGATTGATTGTCATTTCTACCCAGAGCACTTCAAAAGCTAAATTAAATTTTCTAAATGCAACATCCTTTTAGCTACGATAGAACACGAAGTACAGAGAGCAACTCCACCAGCTCTTCTACCATCACTTCTGTCAAGACGAAACAATTGATTAAAACCTGGAATACGTAATTGATCATTCCCAATTCCTGAGTTTAACCATGCAGTCTCAGACACAGCTAAGATATCAAATTTTTCATTTAGCACTAAGGAGCTAATTTCATCAAATTTATTTTCATCACAGAGATTCTGGCGTTTATATGGCTAATATTATGAGATAAATTGCGTCAAGGGCCAGGATTAATTTCAATATCACCACTTAGCAAAAATTAATATTGCTAAAGAACATGTAAATAAACAAGCATATGCAACAAAATAAATTAGGGATACATGGGAGAAGGCAGCAGATAGACAAAGGTGACTAGACGTCTGAGTCAGAAAATTAAAACAACCGATAGCTGCCGTATAAGTTTCAAAACAAACCCCCATCAAGCATACAAAATAAGCAATATATACTTACCTCGGGCTGCACACTTACGAGATTTAAGCCTGTACCGGCAACACATCAAATACAAACATATATTAATACAACATATACGGATAGAACTTATCTCAATAAAACACAAATACAAACATATAAAACAGCAAGAAAAGATTGTCGACACGCAGGTATGGTTTCGACTGCGGATTAGCGGGATTAAAATTAGGAACGAACTTACATATAACAAGACGCTCTATTGAGCGTTAACTCGCTGGGGCTGTACAAATATACGCACATTACTTTATATGATGCCAGATACAGTACACAGATATTTCTATAGACCTTTCCTCTTCTAAGTGAAATTTTTATCCAGACTAGCGTGGACAGAAATTTCATCACAACTTGACAGGGCCGCCGAGAGGGGGGGGGGGGGCAA